CCCCAAAACCCCAAAACCCCAAAACCCCGTAAAACGATTTCTCAATATATCATAGGATATAAAATTAAATAAAAATAAAAGTATTTGTGGTATTAATTTAATATTAAAAGTTTTATTAGATTCATTCATTTGCATCACTTGAGAGAAACTTCGAATATTCTTTCTTCTCCGTTTCTAAGTAGCTTGAAAACTTTCAATTTGTTTTAAGTGTTAGCAATTGCGGCATAGTAATCATTAATATTATTCACCTTAACTCCATCGATCTCAAGAATGATGTCTCCAATCTTCAGTCCTGCTTACCAGCCTGGTGATTCTGTGTTGACAAGCAACACTATCATGCCTGCTTTATCTATCATTGATCTCAAACTGCAACCTAAATAGGGTCTGTTCATTGATTAATCCTATTCATCTCCCTCGCATTCTGCTACTTAATATTAGAATGGAAATAGCATTCTCATATTAGTCATCTGACGCTATTCTTTAAAGGTAACCAGTCCATATATTGATGCTGATGTCAATAAAGTCCTTCCTAACCTTTTTGCTAAAATTGAGTACATTTTAATTTAATATAATTAACTAAAATAATTTGATAATTAAAGTTAACAATCTTAAGTCCATTGACTCTGCTAATAGCAATACTAAAGCTCTGATTAAATCATATTCCTAGACTGATTCCAAATTTCTGTCTCATAATCTCTTGAATCCACAAGAACCGCAAAACTTGTCAGCTTCTCTATACTTCCAGCCACAAGAAGTGCAGAATTTAAGTGATACATTAGCCTCGTCTTTCTGCTGTGAAGAAGTCATTTGAGCCTATTAAGTTGCTTTATTGTTTGAAGTTACTGTAGTATTGAGTTTTAATGTTTGCTTATGAGTATTTGAAGGAGGCTTAATTTCTTGCTTTTACTTTTTAGTTGGATTTGCAGTTTGACTCTGGAGTACCTAAGCCTAAGGTTTTTGTTGAGTAGATGAAGTATCAACTGATTTTTTAGCATTATTATTTTATTATTAAGTGCTTTAAGTTGTTCCTGAAGTCTAGTTAAAACCGTTATTGATTGTAATTGTAGTTTTTGCTCCAAAGTTAGCTTATGAATGGTCAAGATAAGGTTGATAGTCCGTGCTAGGCTTATAGTTTGAAGGTAGTTTCTACTGATTACTGTGATTAGCTATTTGTGATTTTATTGAATTGTCTTGATTTACCTTAGATTAAATTGTTTCTTTAAGTTGCTTAGCTGAGTTTGTTTTTTACATTAATCCTATATTTTTACTTTAAGAAGAGGAGGATCTTAGTTTCGGCATTTAATTAACATTGATTAAGCTTTGTATCGAATGTTAGATTATCTTAGCCTTAATACCGAACTCTCCACTTTTTTTGGGATCTATTTGGCTCTCATTTGTTTTTTGCCCCTTTATTGCTTGTCTTGATTCCTTTTGAACAGATTAAATTTTTTAAATGTTAAATTGAATCTATTGATCCTCTTCTTTTATTACTGGAATTATCCTAGGTATAAGGGATTAGAAATTTTGAGAATTCTTCTTAGGCTGAGACTTGTTGCTTCCACTTTTAATTGAGTTTCCTTGCTCATTGAAAGTTGTAATGTTATTCTTTGAGGACCTTACAGACTAAGATCCATCATTCAGATTTTGAGTGATAGGAAAGTTACTTGAACTCAATCTCAGTGCTGAATTCTTTGGAGTGCTTAAACTTGTGTTCATTGAAATATAAGATGATTGACTTTGTTAGAACTGCAGGTTTTAATTATTCAGAAATAATGTAATTGTCTTTTACTTGATAGAGTTTTTGCCTTACTTACTTTTTGGATTCTACATAAGAGAGGGGTTATATTACTAAGACATTGGAACACTATTGCTATTGATATTGTTATTGCTATAAGCACTTAAATCAATCTCATTCTGAATAATCTATATAGATTTTTAATCTGGTTGAGGAGTTGGATTTGGTGAGACCTTTGGCTAAAAGTTATGAGAGATTTTGATTAGTTAGTTTTATGATTAACCTAATCTCTCTTTACTCGGATTCTAGGATCTTTGATTTTGGCTATGATCATTTTATGATATCAAACTAAGGATTCTCTAATGCTTTGAACTTTTCTATTCCTCAAATTTGAATTCACAAGCAGGCTATTCAATATCCGCTAAATCACATTATATAATCCCAATCTTATCTGATATTGTCTGGTTAAATTTCATTGATTTTTTATGAATAGATTTTTTTTGCAATTCTTGCAATTTATTTTAGGTTTCTTCATCTTTTTCGTTACTGATAATACCCTATTTTATTATTAGATTACCGCTAGCTCCTAATAGCAAATTATTGCCTTTCTAATTTGTTGTCGTTTACTATTTATCCTAACCTATCACAAATGAATTTCGTGACTTAATTTACTCACTTTAATCACCATCAGTTACTGAAAGTTTTCTTACTGATGTCTCTCTAATCCTGATGACTTTGCTAGTTAAAGAGTCAATAGTAAATCTAGCAGAATTGATAGCTTTATTTATTTCTTCTATGCCTTATTCGTAGTGAGAAAGGTCTCTTTTTGTTCTTTTAAATGGACTCAGAGTATTATTTATATTATTAATATTTTGTTCATTGCTCTCACATTGAATCAGATCGATTCTTCTGAAAGTATGAGTTTTATCATCGTTTGATTCTGAGGTAGTCCCTGGTTGCTTATAATACTTATCCTTAATCTGATTTATCCTAGAGGGCTTGTTGGCTGAATTCTGATTTGAAAAAGGCTTAGGGAGTAACTTTAAAGGTGTTATAGTCTTATACTCATGTGCTAGTGAGTCCTTTTTACTGTTAATTCTTTTGCAAATCTCTTGATGCTTGACTATGCGATCTTGAATAAACTTTCTTTAACAATATTCACACTCAAGTCTATCTTCAAATTAGTGATAATCCTCGTTAGTTTGAGGTGAGGTATCATCCTCATAGGTATCCCTAGAGACATGCTTTTTATTTTCTATGGCTTTAAGCTTTTATTTATGTCTTTGGTTTGGTTAGGTTGGTGATCTGTCTGAAACCTGTGTTACTTGCTATGGTTGAACTCCTCTTATTTGCTACTTAAACTCATTAAAACTTTCCTTGTTTTGTTTCTTAATCTCTGAGAAGTTCTTTTACAGCTTTTCTGTTGAATTAGTTTCAATGAGTTTATAATCAACATCTCCTTGATTAGTTTATTACACTTCCCAATGTTTTCTAAGGGATGATCGTTAGTCCAACTACGAATTTCTTTGATTAAAAGGAATATTTTTTTGAGATTGAAGTTATAAATGGGTTTTTTATTGATTCATATTCATGTCTTAAACCATTAAATCTTCAATCTCAAAGCTTCCAAAGGCCTCTACGTATTGTAAACTCTACTCATTGGGTTCCATCTAGCTTATATTGTAATTTTCATCATTTATACAGTTTCCGATATTAATGGATGATTATAAACTTGATGTCGCATCTTTAATTTTTTCAAATGTTTAATCACCTTCACTGCTATCTACTTACTCTGTTTATCAAGCAGGTCCAGGCGCAAATATCTAAACAATCTATTGATTATCAAGTTTTACTTGATTTTGATAACCTTGACTCTTCTTTTTATTAATAGACTTGGTATTTTAATTACCTTGGCATATATCTTTATGTGATTTGAACTTTTCCTCTAGAAATTATCTATTACAAAATTCACATTTCTCCAATTAATGGTGCTTCAAGCTTTGCATTGCTAAATTATTATAGATTTCTACATCCTCGTGGGTCATTTATGCTATTTATTGTGTGTCTTGTAATATCTATAAATATTTGTTTGTTATGATTTCTTTATCATACAAAGTGAAATTGAATAGGAGGTTAAGGTAGTTTTATTCTTTGATTTGCTGGCTTTTTCTCTTACTCTTTAGTCCATTTTTTCTCGCAGGATTTAACATGAATAGAAAAAGCCCTTCTGCTAAACTCTTAACCACTAATGAAAAGTTATGGAACTAAAATCATACCAGATGTAGCAATAAAGCATAATCATATTTGGAGATGTCTAAACAAGTTGCATTGTATTCATAAGTATTTTTCCTTCATCCCCAAAAGGCTTAGACACCGTTGAAATTCTATTAGGAGATGAAAATAGAATATCTTGAGTTGATTATTAGGATGTTATGGAAGGTGGAATACTGTTCTTTTTATGCATTTATAAACAATCAATAAAGCAACTTAAAATTGTAATTAATTTTTATTTTATCAATCAAATTACGCAAATAAATTTCTATAAAATTATTCATTTTATCTTACGGGGTTTTGGGGTTTTGGGGTTTTGGGG